TCCGAAGGTAGCCATGCATACGCTTCCAATGTTGCAAGTAGATCGAGAATGACTGGTGGTCGAGGTGATGAAACAGTAAGTCTTTCCTTATAATGATCAACTTTAACAATTAAAATCAAACTTGAAACCACGTAGTGATATTCTTTTTAACAGCCTGAGAAAGTGTCATCTGTGCCTAAGTTTGGTGAGTGGGATGAAAGCAATCCTTCATCAGCTGATGGTTACACCCATATATTTAACAAAGTGAGAGAGGAAAAGACTGGATCAACAAAAGCTACCATGATAACTGATGATACGATCTATGTCAATGACCAAGATGTTCGTGGTAGATCCATGGTAAGCCGCTTACTTTTGTGTACATGCTTGAATAATAACTTCATTAGAGCTATAATCTTGATAAAAAAACTTCCCAAGTTTTAGTCTAATTAGACTTGTCACTAGTTTCTCTTGTTTCTAGATATTTATTATTGTATTTGATGCAAATGAAATGACACAAAAGGTGCTTGTCGCTTGCATATCTTTTTCCCCATACTTTGTGTCAGCTTTGTGCCCATAGCTAAATTCCAAGAAAGTAGAAACATCTTGTTTGGTTTCAACACTTCTCATGGCTAATGCATATTGGTTATTCAGGTTGAAATAGATTCTAGTAAAAGTTTGATCAGTTAGCTATTAGTTGTATTACATGAGTTTTCTACACCATTGGTGCTGGTACTGGCAAAATACATTTTTTTAGCAACTATAAAAATGAAATCATTGCATTTCATTGAATTTACCAAACAGAAACTTTTCGACTATGGCAAATGGGGTATGGGTGTATAATTTCTTCTAGTTCAGAATTGCTTTAGTTGAAGTAAATTGCTTTTTAGAGATGTAGAGGCAAAAACTTTTATCTTGGCATATGTACTATTATCCAAAATTGAGTAGCAGAACTCAGTTTATTGTTCATTCCTTTGTTTATGACCTAAATATTTTTCATTGTTTTGTTTGCAACAGTTGCAACAAAGAACCAACATTTATTCATCTGATTTAATTATTTCTTTAACAGAGTTGTTGCTTTGGCTGGTGCAAGAAGTAACTAGTTGCGCAGGAAGGTTCAAATCTCTCATCCTGTACATATCCTCAAAGAAGACTATCATATTATTTGGATATATTTGAGAAATGCATTCTCCTCTGTGCTAGTGTGGATGTTCATGAATATGTTGATGTATTCGAAAACATTTTCTTTCTAGTTTCTTGTGCCTCTGTATCCTGATTGCAACACTATGGAAGACTAAATTTCAGATTGATTCACTGGCCTCTTTTACAGCTTACTTTTTCAAATGCCTCCCCACATGCTTTGGCCCTCTGTTTGGGAGTTCTACTTCAGTGTATCAGCACTTTCCATGATATGGATCTATAAATAGTGAATCTGGAGTTCAATATGGATAGCTTCTTTCTTTCTTAGCAGATCTGTCCCCATTAACTCAATCTTATGTTTTCAGGAAGCAAAGTTGCAGGTAAATTGTATCAAACTGAACATTTTGCAGGGTGTAGAGGTCCTGTAAGTATAAGATTTTGGCATACATGTGTTTTATTGTTGTATTAGGATTATTATCTCAGATTACAAGAAACCACATGATACATTGATCATTTCTGTTTAATTCTTTTACGTAATGGAAATAATGAAGGAAAGTGAGACTACAAGTTGCTAAAATCCCTACAAAGAAGTAACAAAGTCTTGTAGTAGAAATTGTTTCTAGAGTTACCAGATATGACATAATGCAATACTAATTATGAAGAAGTGAAAATTTTATTGTGAAAGGGATGAAACCATTTATTTAGGTAATGCGTATTTATATAATTTTTTAGGAAGAATTTTTTTAAATTATGCACTCAAATTATGTATTCAAATTAAATTATACAATTGATCCTCGAATCATAAATTATGAAAAGTTATCATTCTATATTTGTCTTTGTTGTGATCTTTTATTATGCTTTTACAAGATTAAGCTTTTATCAAGAATGTCAATTTTGATTTGTTGTGATCTTTTATTATGCTTTTACAAGATTAAGCTTTTATCAAGAATGTCAATTTTGAACCGGTGCAACTAAAATATTCTGTAAGCAAGAGGTTTTATGAGAAAGTTTGTTAGTTGGTTAGATGTCTGAACACGGAAAACTTAATATCTAACAAAGTGGAGGTTGATATCAATGTGTTTTATACATGAGTAGAACATTATATTAGCGTATAGGTACGTGGCGTTAACATTTTCATAGTATATTATAGGAATGGATTGAGAGGTGACACAAAGTTTATGTCGTAGATTGGTGACCTAGTTGAGTTCTGCAATGTTGTTGATGGTGATGACTCGATATTCAACTTTAGTGATGGGTTTTGTTACTATATGTTGTTTCTTGGAACTCCAAATGATCATATTTCTTCAAGGAAGATAATATAGGCTAACATAGATGTTCTATCCAATCAGTATCAATAAAGGTATGGAGATTAAGTGATAAGTTTTTACAAAGAAATATATAATTGAGAGTCCCTTTCAGATATTACATATCATCAATATCAACGAAGGCATGGAGATTAAGTGATGAGTGTTTACAAAGAAATCTATAATTGAGAGTCCCTTTTAGATATTATATAATATTTATATTTGAGATGATATAATCATATATATTTAATGAAGTAATATTAAAAATTAATATAAAATCTAAAATATCAAAAAAATGATTTATAGTAGTATATGGAAGATGTTCTAAAATGTAGTTTATGACTTTTATTACAAGGTAAGCATCACAAGAAGTTACAATTCTACTTGATTTGAAAGTTGAAAGAGAGTAACAAAAATTTAGTTATTGTTGAATGAAGATAATGGATGACCAAGGTGGCGATACCACACTTCTACTGGAGCAGCAACTAAAGCAATAACGATTGGCTAAGTGATTTATGAAGCTAATGGCCACTTAAATATATTGTATTTATTTTGACCTAAGACTAATGATTCTCTCGTGGTTAAATCCTTTACAAGAAAAGAGTAAAAAAAAAGAACTTAATAAAGGTATTATTTTGTTCACAAAATTAAGAGATAAAAATAATATTTTTTAATGTAAAGTGCATATAAAATATCATTGAGTGCAAAAATATTTATGTATTAATTAAGTGTTGCAGAACTATTGTGAGTAATAAGGATTTTGTTACCATGATCGATGATGATATTTTTATTGCCTTTATAGTTGATATAGATGGATAAATTCAATAAATTATAAGTGATATAATGAGAAGTAATAGAGTGAATAATCCAATTGTTTAAATGAGTAGTTAGAGTAGTCATGATGCTTACTTGACGTCAGCTAGTGTATTAATAGGCATAGGTTGTGATCGATAAACTTTTGTTGTATCCAATTTTATTACAAAACTAGTTGATAACTTTTTGATGATTGTTATTATTGGGATGCATAGTTGTAATACAAATTATTTTCTAAATTATTTGGATTAAAGTTATCATTATGGTTGGAGAGTTGATAGTGTAATAGAGGATGATGGTTATATGTCCAGGAGGCATCTTGTTTGATTTTTTATTGAAGTTCTTGTTGTTTTAATTACTATTTCTTTTGGATTTTTGATTAAATTGAGGTATAATAGTTGGTCTCATCTTTCTCCCCCGTCGCTTCATATATATTTCATGATTAATCAAATAGTCATATAGTTTTTCAAACAATATTTATAAGTCACGTGCCTGAATTACTATCGTTAGCTCCTTATATTCATCTCCTAAGTCATTGAAAGTATGGATAATGACTTCTTCATCACTTAAAGGATAACCTATTGAAGTCAAATAATCTATAATAACTTTTAGATTTTACATATAATTACTTTCATATTATATTATTTTTATCAAAGTATATAAAAGATTTAGCGTACGAGTGCGAGAGCGATTCACGAGGGTGATTTATAACTTGGACTATACTCATATTACAGTACTACATGAAGAGATTAGTGGTACTATGGAGCCAACGACTGAGACTTAAATGACTGTATAATAAAACGATCTTGTCGTAGCCATAACTTATGATTCGATTTGCCATTGGGATGTGTTCTTCTTATATTTGAATCTTTTCTTATAGACAACTAAGAGAGTTATCAATAGAGCCTAATAAATCACATCCAAATATGAGACTGGTGAATTATGCTAGCCAAAATATATAGTTATCACCTTTAGAAAGCTTGAAGAGGTTTATAGTAGTTGTGTTAATAGATATAAATCCTGTAAGTTGAGATTAACTATTGTTTCTCAAAAAAATTAATTGATGTAGAGGAGAAAGATATGCTGAAAAGATGTTATGATCCTATAAGAAAAATCTAAAATCAATTGATAATCTAGTTTGGATACACAGATGGTAGAGATTTAATCTGTTGGAGGAGATTAGATTTGAGAAGTACATAAAGGATGATATGATATAAGATGTGTAGAAGAGAGTGATATCTTCCTTACTCTCTAGTTATTCTCTCGATTGCAAGTGCTAATGGTGCAGTCAAGAGGATGTAGAAGGCAGTGGACTATCACCAAGAGGTCGATCGTAGATCCAAGATGCTGGTGAGTTTGATAGTTGATAAGAATATGATGAGGACACTAGTAAAAATATTGGGTAGTAGGCACCAATATAAGTGCAGAGGGAACGCTCGCCAAGCAGAATTGAACAGTGATAGAGAATCATTGGAGAAGTCGATTACTAGAGGAGACTGATTAGATCAACAAAGTGGAGTAAATATACTGTAGAGTAGATCGTACTAGAAGATCGATCGACAAGAGTCACACGTCTTTAGTGGAAGCCTTGCCTTGGGTTCGGGTTGTAACAATTATTTTCTATGATGAAGGACTTTTTTTTTTGGTCAGCTAACTACAAGTTTGAGTTTTTTTTTGTATTATTGTCATTTATTTACTTGATTTCAGTTTCTGCATCTTGTCTTTAGATGATCATGGAGTCAATAGAAAACAAGACAAGCAAGCTTGTTACAGTGTCATTATATTAGCCAAAACTCATTGCACTTGTGCAGCGAGGAACGTATGCTACATCACTGTAGGATCTCCAACACAGGAATTGGACCTCATGAAAGGGAATAATGTTTTGGAGAGGGAAAAGGGATCAGGATCTTGAGGTTAACTCAGAAAACCTAGCACCACATAGTATGTAACAAGCACAGGCAAAGAAACCAGCATCCCAAAGATCACCCTGCAACAACATGACAAAGCGTTCATGGTTGACCAGGAAAGATGGAGTTAAATTGATGGTCTGTGTTGGTAAATGTCAACTTACGCAGTGCTGAGCACATCAGCATGTAATCCATACTCTCTTGCAAAAATGAAGGAGGTGATGGACTGAGGCAGTGCAGCCTGCAAAATGTTCTTAGAGTCAATAAAAAGAACATTTACCTGTATAAGAATTAAGTATATTACCTGTATGATTGCCAGATGCAGGATGTCACCGCGAAGTCCGACCGCAATGGCTCCGATGGCGGTCGCCACCGGCCCTGCGACGAACTTTAATGCCATCCCAAATGCCGTCAAGCTCGGTCCACACGCGAGTATCTTCTCTTGCAGAGCCATGAACAGTCCTGCAAAACCATGGCGACCCCTTCATGAAATGCACATTAGACTCAACCTTAGGAAGCTTGATCTCTTCACCTACCCATGCTGAACATGGCCATCCCTGTCCCTGCCTTGGACATGATCAACACCGATCCCTCCATGATGCTCGGCATCTCAAAATGCCACCTGAAACAATGATCACAAGTCATCTCCATGAACGCCATTTGCATGAGCATGGTGTTCGAGTCTTTGTCTTCCTGTACCTGTTCGCGATGAACGCCCAGGTGATGCCCACAATGCTCGCGTATGAGTTGGGGTTGAGCGCGAGCTTGAGCCACACCGTCTTCATCAGCGACCAGAAGGAAGGCTGCGAAGCGACGTCTACGTCTGCGTCTTTCGCCGGCGGTGACTCGATCGACGCATTACCGATGGAGGGAGCTGTGGCCACGGAGAAGAGACCGCATCCCGCCTTCCGGAGCTCGAACACGAACAGTAGCAGCGTGAGCCATACGATGGCTTGCACCACCGAGAGCTGCACCACAAGGTCCTGCGCCCACGGCCCGTACATGGCGCCGACGAGGGGAACGCCGACGACGAGGGAGTTGGTGAGGGTGGCGAGGGAGAAGCTGGTGACGGACCAGCAGTAGCTGCCCTTGCTGCTGCACTTGGGCCAGGCGGCGAGGAGCAGCGCGATGGTGACCTTGGAGATGGCGTCGGCGGCCACGAAGCGGTAGTTCATGGCGAAAGGGTCGGTGTGGAGCGTGAACTGGAAGGTGAAGAGGGGGAGGGTGATGCAGGAGACGAGGCGGTTGATCGCCTCGCACTGCTCCGGCGTGATAACACGCCACCACTTCACCGAGCCATATCCGAGGCCCAGTGCTACATACAGCGGCGCCATGGCGTCCACCACCTTGTAGATGTCCCCCCAGCTTATCATTCTCGCCTTTGCTCCCAGGGAAGAACGTCTCCTCTGCAAGCTTCGACTGGGGGTGGACGATGGTCATCTCCTAGGTTGGAATGGCAGTATATATACATGGGAATTGAGACATGTGGCATGAAGGTGAAGGTGAAGGTGGCTTGGTGCATTGATTCCAGTGCTGTGGATGCTTAATTATCCAAGCAGCAGTGCCATGGGCGAGCAAACTTTTGGGAAAGACATGGGTGCGGGGGATATGGAATGAGGTGCAACGCTTATTCCATGCATGTTGTTGAAAGGAGAGCTTAAATTATTGGTTTGGTCATTCCCCAAGCAAGCAGGAGAGATGTGAGGGAGGAGCACTGAGCTTGATGGGGAAGAGACCATGGAATTCATGCTTTTCTCAGGATGGTGTTGCTACACTTGCACAGTTGCACTTCTTTCAAATTGAGCTAAAAATACTTTGGATCTTTGATCGATTCTATTCACTAATAAATAATAAATAAAATACACTAAATTGACATTTAAATCTCTTTCATTGTGTTCATTACTTTTTCATCCTACTCCATTCTCCTACTTTCATTATTTTCAGAATATTGAGATGGACATAAAAAGTGACACAAAAAATAAAGTAAGAGAATTATTTAAGATGACATCGACAAACCCTAAGAAAAAAATATAAATTATATTTAAAAGATATGAGATAATTAATATTTGTAGCGTAAAATCAAGGAAAGAGAAGACCAGTACTATGTTGTTTTCTACATAGCTTAATAATAAAAAAAAATATATAGTCGACTCCAAATAATTAAAAATTTAAGACATTTTGTACTTATTGTTGTCGAATATTATGACATACTATATAATTATTTTATAAAAATATTAAATTTACAGTACAAAAATATTAAGCTAGTAGTGACCCAAGATTTTTTTTTTATTTTGTATTTTTAGCAAGTTGGAGCTTTTCAAAGTTCCATTTTGCCATCTTTGGATGGATAGATAATAATTCTTACTCATTTAAAGCTAATATTGTACAAGAATAAAGTTATGCCACAACATTTCATGCACTCTTATTGAGACAAGAAGAGTAACACCTCCCTCATAACATAAGCTAAAAGGAAGCTTTCCAAGATCTTGTCTCATGTCCATTTGCTCTTCCATTACACTACAATCCATTTGCATGTCACACTTTGCAGATGACATTGCTAAATACTTTGCATTATTTTCATGCTATATTCTTCTTCTTCTTCTTCTTCACCTCCTTAGGAGAATCTGATGCTTCTAACTTCTTCATAGTGCATGCTGACAAGAACACTGAAACCAACAGGAGACGCACAATTTTTTTTTATCGAAGTTCAATGCTCCTTCCTGAACTGAATTCCATCGATGTCATGATATATAAAGTTCTTGAGCAACTTGTGATAGTTCTTTCAGTGTTATGGACATTAAGAATGATAATGTGAGACTTGGACAGCCTCTTATAATCAACTAACAAGGCATGTTTTTGAGGAAAGAGATTCCATAGATGACACTAGCTAGAATGTGGTTTTAGGGAATTTTGGATTGATGGTGGGGAATTTTGAGGGTGAAGATAATCTTGGGTGGAGTATCAGGTGTTGTGCCAAATCAACGTCATAGTCTCAGTTGCAAATCAAATTATCTTAAAATCTTTTGTCAATGTCATTTTGTATGTATGTATGTATGTATGTATGTATATATATATATATATATATATATATATATATATATATATATATATATATATATATATATATGTATGTATGTATGTATGCATGATGTATGTATGTATGTATGTATATATAAAGCTCTATTCTTTTATATGAGTTGATTTTTATTGAGTTTTGAATCCATTTATTTCAGTTATAATGTTTTTGAATAGGCTCACAATATTTTGGTGGAGGTGATAAATATACTACAAAGTTATTAAAAAATATTATAACTGATAATATAAGTATTATACACGGGTGAGGGTGCCAAAAACATTATAATAACAACGTAAGTCTTCTACATGAAGATTGTGCTCGTAAAAATTATACTTGATCATAATTCTGATCAAGATTATGAAAAGGTGTGAGTGCCCTTTGAAAAATAAAATAACACCAATGAAAAAAAATTAAAAATAATTTTTCCTTGGAAAATAGCTATTATTATTATTATTATTATTATTAGGGTGAATTTCATAACTTTAGATTTTTCTTAAATATTTGTTTTAAATAATCATTTTACCCTTATCGACCCTTACCTCATACTTGGTCGCCCTACACTTGGGAGTCTCGCCAACCAACCCTCGCTTGCCCATTGTGATCGATCGTAACCCTCGTCAACCATCCCCTCCTCCTCCTCTATGTTGATCGTTTTTCTCCTATTCTCTTTCTTGTTGGTACCTCTGTGTATAAGTTCGCTCTGTCGATGGCTCCACTTATTTCTCCTAGTCATATATTATCTTCGTGTGTGAGCTATCAGGCAATATCGATCACCCCCTCCCCTCACCATCATTTGTATGTGAGAGAGTTATAATTGACCACAAGAAGGATTGACGGGTCAGACAGCCAAACACAAGCGGAGGCACGACTAGAGATAGGATTGGAAAAAATGATCATTTAACATGGCCAAGAGCGATATACCAAAAATTTTCGAGCTTCAGCACGGTATGAAAAAAACTATTATTATTAATAATTAATCTTTATTATTATTATTATTATTATTATTATGGGTAAATTTGTCATTTCAAGGCTTTGCAAGAACGGTTTTGAAGCCGCCACAGCTCTTCGCTCTTATTTCTCGCTTCACTCTCTCTCTTTCCTCTTCTCTTGGAAGTCTCCGCAATGATCTCGAGAGACCTGGCTCTCATTTCCATCTCCGCCGCCATTGGAGCCCTCGCCTCCTTGTTCGCCGCTCGCTTGCTCTCCTTCTCCTCCTCTCCCGACAACCCTAAGAGGCCGCCTTCTCCTCCTCGCCTCCCCTCCCCTCCATCGCCCAACGCCAATGGCTCCGCCTGCGGAGTCCCGCCTCGAAGCCCCTTCGACCCCGCCAAACGCGAAGGGCACGCGCTCAGTTGCTTCCTTGCTCTTCTCTTCTCTTTTAATCGAGTGATTAGGTCTTAAGGCGTTCGTCTTGGTCGGATTCCAGGTACATTAGCTGGGATGATTACTTCATGGCTATCGCCTTCCTCTCCGCCCAGCGTTCCAAAGATCCCAGCAGGCAGGTCGGTGGGATGTTATGCCCTTTTTCTATTTCGCGTGCTTTGAGGTTCTTACCATCAATGAGAAACCTATTGTGTAAATCTTCTCCTTGCTTGTTAGGGTTGCTGATTGTTCCATTAAATAACATAATATTTCCTTGCTCGGATGTCATTACTTGGCCCTTAGATTTGGAGGAAAATTGTTGATTTTGGATAAATGTAGTTTGTAGAAGATAATTTGATCTCAAAATAAATTCTTTTACTTCTTTTTGAAGTGTTAAAAGAACACCAAGGAAATTGACATATAACATGCAGGGGAAAAAATTGTGGAGGTGCTGGAGCATACTACGTGAACAGGATATGAATGGCTTTATGTTCTTTCAGTCAATACAAACTGTTTCAGTGTGTGTTATATGCTTTACAAGAATGATACGATCCATTAAGTTGTTAGTGTATCTGTAATATATTCTTTCATGTTAATTCAGAACAAGGTTTTATGATCAGTTTGTGCAGCCTGAATGTCTGTTTTTTTATTCTTTTTTTCAGATTCAATGATATTCACTGAGCCTTTTAGGTGATGCATCTGTACATTTTGAGACTTGGCCTTTAGAAATGTCTATTGCTGAATTTGCCTTACTGTTTTTCTCCCTTTGTTCAAATGTCATGATCGAGAGATTAGTTCTCTTTTCGTAAGTTAAGTGGCACCACATTTAGTCTCCAAACATTCATATAAATGTTTGTATGTGCTATAAATATGGACCATACACTGTTTTTGCATGTCTGAAAAGGCTTTCTAATTTTCCAAGTATGTTCTTATTCTACTCTTTTTCTTTGCAAAATAGGTGATTTGATATAATGAAGCATATCTGTGCATTATTTTGCCTTTTGGATGTATTTATACCTTTGTACACAGGGTTTTTTGCAATTGGCTTTATTGTATCTGTTTGTTTATATTATTCTGAGCTTATATTGATGATAATGTGTAGGTTGGAGCATGCCTGGTTAGTCAAGATGATATAATCCTTGGTGAGGATAAAGTTTTGATTTGCTAATTTATTTTACTCAATCTTTTATAGCTCCAATATTCAACTCTTCAAATGGTATGTAAGTATATCATAAATAAGTGAAAAAATGAATTTCTTGAATTGCTAATATTTTGATTTTATGTGGTCAAAGTGATTCTTAATGGTGCAAAGTAGCCTTGTCATATTGTAAATTAGCTGAGCAGTAATTTGCAAGTTTGTCTGATGCCCTTACCTTGCAATGTATCTTATTCTGTACTGGTTCCTCCTACTTTTATATGGAAATATAACCTAAAAAAGCCAGTCTCTACTATCTGGGGATAAGGTGTTGCTATTGGAAAATGGAGATGATAGCTTTAGATACCAGCTCTGAACTCTAGGCGCAAGGTGTTTCTATTGGAGAATGAAAATAATTGGGTTATTAAAGAATGGAAATGACTGGATTATTAAAGAACATTTATTTTTTCATTCTGTCACATATAATATACAATAATGGTTCACTTGGATCTATGGCAGTGAAAATTCCTTTTCCAATATCTGCAATGCCAAAACCATCTTGCTGCTTCTTGTGATAGGTTATTAATGGAGGCTACAGTGATTGTAATGTTATTTGAAGTTCTTTATTTGTACTCATCTGGGCCTCTCTTGTGTTGCCTCATATCTCAATTGCTATTTAGATCCACATAATCGAGAAGTTATGCTTGAGCATAATTGTTTGATTTGTTTATTCATGATGGTTTTGTATTTGCAAATATGCACAGATAATTCCGAATCATTAAGGATAAACCATGAACCATTTTCGTCTCTAAGATTATTATTTTATAGTATGCCAACTTGTGAAACAAATC